CCTACCTTTCCGGGAGCTTAGACCCCGGCTGGGGGGCGGCCACCCCACCGCAACAATCACCAGGGAAGCCACAAAGTGGATTTTGGGCCAGAGACTCCAGACAGCAGCCCGCATGCTGTGAAGACAACATGGTGGTCACCTCCTGACAGATGGCAATGTCCAGTACCTTTTACTTCCAAGGTGCAGAGCTGGGTGGGGCTGGGAGCTGTCCCAGAAGCCGGGCAGAGACCTGGGTGACTGGATGGAAATGTGTCACCAGGGCACAGTTCCCCAAATTCCCTTCCTCTTTCAGCCCCCTTGTTCCCGCCCACTGTGACAAGACAAAAACACAGATAACTCATTTTTAAAAAATTCTTTTTCCAGTGCTGGGGTTGGAGCCCATGGCCAGTGTCCCCTTCCACCTCATTAACGAGAACGGGCAGCAGGCGGGGCTCGAGGTGCGGGCCGAGCTCCCCCCACAGGGAAACTGAGGCACCGTGGCTCCCGGGAAATTGCCAGTGCCCTCCCGGCCACCCACCCACCCCACCCTGCTGTGCTCGGCCCGGGGACGCCTGCCCCGCTCCCCGGTCCTTTCCTGCAGCCCAGCGCTGAGTCAGCCCTGCACATCCCCAAGCAACGGGGCCCGGAAACCCGAGCCCAGGACGCACAGCGCCTCACCGCGCATGCGTGCACCGAGGCTCCGAGGCACGCACGCTCTAGGCCGAGCTGCGGTGCAGCTGGGGTGCAGCCCGTGGGGTGCAGCCCGTGGGGTGCAGCCAGGGCCGGAGGCCTCGGGAGCATCTCAGAGCTCCCGGGCTGCAGCCGGCCCGTCGCCCACCCGTGCACAAGCTCTCAGCGCGTCCAGCTCGGGGCATCGAGCAGTCTCCAGGCTGCAGCAGCAGCGGCTGTGACGGTTCCAGAACATTCTCTCACACCTCCCCTCCCCCACCCTCGGCCTCCATGGCGAGCCCGGCGCGCTGTTTCCCGCCAGTGGACACTGACTCGCTGGGCCTCGGCCCCCTGCTGCTGTGGGGCTGATGCGGCTTCTCCCCTAACAGTGGACAAGCTGGACAGTTTCCCTGCGGTGCTTCCAGAGGCGCTGGGATGTCTCCTCCCGTCATGGCGCTCGTCTCCGGGAACCCACGAGCGGCCATGTCTGGACCCGGGTTGGGTCTCCCAGGCTGGATCTGTTATCGCGAGACTGGGATCATCACTGCGAGATCAGGTGAATTATCGCGTGAGCACAAGAGAGGAGTGATCCTGAGTGGTTGTGTTTCCCGCGAGACTTGCATAGTTAGCGCGGGGCCAGACTAGTTATCGCGAGATCACATGGCTATAAAACGAGACCCCTGGGGGAGGCGCTGCCATTTCTGCCTGGGGTTCTGGAGCTGGTTGAGCACCCCTGTGACCCCAGCACCACGCAGGCTGAGGCAGGAGGATCCCTGCGATGCCCAGAGCGGCCTGGGCTGCATGGTGAGCTCAAAGCCTGCCTGCACTGCACAGCCACACCCTGCCTCCAAAAGGCCACATGGAGGGAAAAACAAAACGAAAGAATCAAGAAAACTGAGGAGCGGTTGGAGAAAATGAGCGGATCCTGGAACGTTTATTTCTGAGATTTCAAAAAACCCTCCAAGTTACATGCACCCCGTATAAAAAGATGCGGGCGTGAACACATACAAATTCTGGTACCATCTGGGGTCGCTTCGCCTGTCTGTGGGTTCAGTGCTCATACACTCAAGCTACCACTGGTCTGCTCTGTTGGGGTGGCAGGCTCCTGTCATTTCAAGGACTTATAAAGCAAAATAACGCATTTTGGGGTGATACTGTTTTTGAAATCTGAACAGGAATCATGCACGTGACCGGAAATCATATTTCTCAAAAGAAATACGCCTCTAGCCTGTCCTTGGAAGGACTCGTTCTCTTCAACGAGCTGTGCTGTAAATCATTGCCAGTTAGCTTTTGAAGCACTTCTGGCCCTTCCTAGGAAAAGCTCAACAAATGTTAGTTGAATGAATATGCGGTATGGTCCTCACCATCATGAAAGCACCATATTTGAGTCTCTGACACTTACTGTAAAAAATTACCAGTAACTTGGAAGCTTAAAATAGTGTTATTTTGTAGTCGCCTTAGCGTTCTCCAAGGCAGAAGTCTCACTGGGTAAGAGCGTCCTTTTGGGTTTCTTGGACAGACAGCCTCAGTCTGATGAAAGTCAGCACTCTCCTTCCCTCGTGGTGTGTGCAAATAAATTCAGAAATTCCTTTTTTTTAATATTAAAAAAGGACTGACACAGATTTGCAGAACGCAAGAGGACATTCGCAATGGTCAATATCTGTGTAGTGTTATCTGCAAAATAGCTGATCAGATTACAAGACGCAGGCATGCAAAACTGACCAAACAGTCAAAGCCCAAAGTGTTCTTTTTGATGAGGTAACAGAGGTTAGCATTATAGTTATTTATCACATATAATATTACATATAACTACATTATTAATTATCATATATAGGCATAAAATCTTTTCCCTCAAAAACCTGTGATTGGAGGTTCCATTTGACCCAGCAATTCCACTTCTGGGCATATTCCCAGAAGAACTGAAAGCATCATACCACAGTGATATATGTGCACCCATGTTTATAGCAGCACAATTTGTAATAGCCAGATCTTGGAAACAACCCAAGTGTCCATCAACTGAGGAATGGATAAAAAACTTGTGATATTTTTATGCAATGGAATTCTACTCAGCCATAAAGAAGGATCACATTGAGATATTTATCAATAAATGGACCCACCTTGAGACCACACTCATAAGTGAGACAAATCAAACTCACGTGTATAAATACCGTACACTCTCCCTGGCATAAGAAACTGAGAGAGTAAATAAGATCCAAAATCTACAACAGATATTGTCAAGGAAAATGGGGGGGAATGCACTCAGAAAGAAAGAATAAATGCGGTAACAGAAACGAGAAGAGGTTTTTTTCGTAGTTTTAGAAAATACATTAGTTTGTTTGCAGCTCTGGAGGTTGAACTCAAGCCTTTAGAGCCGAGCTGCATGCCCAGTCAAAGGAGACAAGGCTTTGTGCAGCCACTCAGCTGCTCGGGCCGGCCCTGAGCTCGGGATCCTCCTGCCTCAGCCTCCAGGCTGTGCAGGAAAGTTTCTTTTCTCCTGAGATGAAGGCCACAGACAGTGGCCGAGCTCCCTGCCCAGCACGGCCGAAACCCTCCGTGCTGCCGCAGGTAAGTCTGATCTCACAAAAATGGACCCGAAAAGCACATTCCTGGGTTCTGCACAGTCAGTGTTTCTATTTTGATAGATTAGATCCTTGACCCTTACGCACTACATTAACGAGGATTAATTTCCTACTATTTTTTAAAAATCCTTTATTGTTTCTATCGTTGGTTTGCTTCTCTTGCTTTTCAAAGTTTAAAAAAAGGTTCCCCTGCACTGATTTAACATCTCAAGAGGAAGCTCCCTCTTGGGCTCACATTGATGGGTGACGAGCGCCCCCTAGTGAGACAGGATGTTTTTCTGAGAGTCTGATAGAAACTCTTTTTTATTTGTTTACTTTTTTTAAAAATTTTATTTAAAAGGAAAAAAAAAAGAAAAAAGAAAACCAAACAAGACAAAACAGTGTAAGCGCACAAGTAATTCAGGACTACAAAAAACAGGAAGAAATCACCAGTTAATAGATTACACATTGTCATCTTAGAGATACTTGTTCAAGTCACAGGATCAAAGCATACAACGTGGACACTCAAACAGTCAGACTGCAAACAGTTGTGTTCAGTGACCCAACAAAGACTTAGCAATATGGTCATCTATCTTACACAACTAAACACACTTGCAGTTGTGTCCTTTAGAGCACTTTTTTCCCCTCTCTTTTTTACAACAAAATTTACACATTTTAGGTTTTATTACTCCCACAGTTCTTATTACTTTTTTTTTGAAGAGAATAAAACCAAATGTGACAAAACAAAACAGAGTAAGTCAAATCAAAAGTCGGTCAAATCAAAAATTTTTACATAATGTAAAAACAGAATACAAGGTGATCAACAATGGTTACCATAATGCCTCTTGCTACCTAAAAAAGAATTGCCTGTATCATCAGGTATAATAAAATTGAACAAAACAGTACAGAACAAAACCAATAAAACCTAAACATTGGAGACCTTACAGGACTTCAAAAGAAGATAATAGTCAAACCAGAATGGGCATCATAGTGAATCTTACTGCCTTCAAAGTAGTTGCCTATAGCCTCAAACTTGATACTATCAAACAGAGTAGTTTCCTTTTTAAAAACACCTTTTCCATTGGGTGTGATGGCACACGCTGCCATCCCAGCACTCGGGAGGCTGAGGCAGGAGGGTCTCTGCGAGTCTGAGACCAGCCTGGGCTGCAAAGTCAGCTCAAGGCCGGCCTGGACTGCACGGCGAGACCGTCTTTAAAAAGAGAAAGAGGGAAAAAAAATCGTCCGAGCCACAAACACTGACACAGAACTGGGTTCGGTGGCTGGAGTTTACAATGGCAGCACTCAGGAGCAGCCTGGTGGCCGTCCCGCCTCAGCCTCTCGGGAGCAGGACTCTGGCACCTCTGTGCCACCAGCAGGTGTGATTCTCTGGCTTGGCTCACCTTCAGCTGACCTTTATGGAGGAAGAAGACACCCCACAGCCAGCTCAGCAGGCAGCTCTCCAGCAGTGTCGGGGTCCAAAGGAAAGGAAAGGAAATTCAAGCCAATGCAGACAAACAAAACAAAAGCAGAACATCACGTCGCACAGACACACATCGGTTCTCCAAATCTCCCCCGTGAAGACACTTGCACTACATTTGTTTAAAACGCTTCTGGGACAGGTCTCGCCTTCATTCACAGCCTGGACCTTCCTAGGAAAAGCTCAACAAACGTTTGTTGAATGAATATGCGATATGATCCTCACCATCGTAAAAGCACCATATTTGAGTCTCTTATACTTACTGTAAAAAGTTACCAGTAACGTGGAAGCTTAAAATAATGTTGTTGTGGACTCACCTTAGCGTTTTCCAAGGCCGAAGTCTCACTGGGCAAAGATCAACTGCATGACAGTCTAGTTTTCTCTCCCAAAATTCTAGAAAGGGTCTCTTCTAGCTCCTAAGGGTTTCATGATTCCTTAGCCCACTCCTTACGGATTCCACACTCTTGAGCACAATTTCTGTTCTTATCTTCACGTGCCGTTCTTTGATCTTTAAGCTTCTGCTTTCTTGCTCTTAAATGTAATTTAGTTGCTTTATATTTCAATGAGCACTTGATAGCTGCACAAATAGACTTGATGCGAAGGCCGGGAATTTAGCTCAGCAGCAGAAGTACCTGTTTGGCAAATGTAAGGTCATGAGTTAAATCCTCAGCACCAAAAAATAAAGTTTATTTGATGCAATGTAGCTTTAGATGTACATACACGGTCACGGTGCTCTCTCGTCTCAAGGCACAAGATCCAAAGCACACAACTTAAAAGAGGACAGATTCCATTAGGCTCACCGTGCAGAAGGTGCAGTCCATGGCCGGCCGCTCCAAGGCAGGAGCATCATGGTGCACGGTGTGGGGAGGAGAGACGCTCCCTTCATGGTGGCCAGGCGGGCCAGGTCACCAAGCCCCGCGCCTGTAAAAAAGAAAGCAAGACACGATTCCCCCAGAGTCACGGGGCAGGATGTCTCCCATAGTGGCCCTGCCTCTGCCTGCCTCAGTTTCCCCGGGGCTCCTCACCCCTGTCTCTGTTGTCACCTTCAGGGACCAGCCCGCTGTCCCTGTCCCTGGAACACTCAGGTGCTGGCGTTTCCTGACAGGGCTGGCCATGAAGCCCAGGTTGCCTGGGGCGCAAGGGACCCTCCTGCCTCAGCCTCCCTGTGATGGGGTGATCGGCGGGCGCCTCTGCCCCTCTGGCTTGTGTTCTCTGGGGTGTCGGGTGTGGACCCCGAGTCCCCCACACACACAGCTCCTCCCTGGCCCCAGTGCCAGTTGCGGGGGTCCTGCACCCACCGTGGCCCAGCTCCGAGCCTCCTTTCTGTCCAGGCCCAGCTGTCACCTGCCCCAGCCGCAGGCCTCGGGCTCAGCATGAGCCTCAGCACGGGGTCCCCACTTCCAGAAGAATAAAGCAAAGCGGGGTTCACAGGACAGGCACCCGGGTTCGGTGCAGATCTGTGACCCCTGTGTCCTCGGAGGCTGAGGCAGGAAGATCCCAAATTCCAGCTCAGCCTGGGGACAGAGGGACTTAAGGAAACCCTGGCTCACAATAAAACATAAATAAAATAAAATAAAATAAAATAAAAATAGCAGGGGCCATGTGTAGTGGTGCACGCTGTCATCCCAGCACTAGAGAGACCGAGGCAGGAGGGTCTCTGTGAGTTCAGTGCCAGCCTGGGCTACATGGTGCCACGTAGCTGGGAGATATGAGGTCCCTGTCACACCGCCCTGGGGGCCGCCAGGTCCTTTGGTCCCCACAGCACACGACAGTGACTACAGAGGCCACAGAAGATTCAGCAGTCAAACCAGGATCGCGCTGCAGGCGGGAGAGGGGATCTGGCAAGGGCAAGGGCACTGGCAGCCATTTTGGGAGATGGAGGCAAATCATACACAGCACAGAAAATCTCTGCAGGGCTCCCTGGTCCCCAGGACATCGTGGATATTGCACTTATGTGCGGTTAACCATTATAATCACATCACATAAAAAGGAAGTGTAACCTGGGAACAGAAGCAGGGGAACCGTGCCTAAAAGGCGCAGCGGCCATCTCACTGACTACGCAGCCTGGCGTCACCTGCCCTGGCCAATAGGATCTCTGGGTACCAGAAGGCGGTGACAGTCAGACTGGAAGCATCGCAGGACCTCAGGCCTGCTACGGTCCCCTTCAGACAGAGATCTGCCAGCCAGCGGAGCGGAGGCCGGGAGCAGCTCGTGAGGACTCTGCGGTGACTTTGGGGTAAGCCGGGCCCAGCGGGGTGTGGGGGGCAGAGCTCCGAGTCCCCCGGGATCCCCAAACCACCCAGGCCCCAGTACGGCCTGTTCGGGGAGGTTGTTGGGCAACAGGGGCACCCGCGGTGGCCGCGCTTCTATTGCAGTGGGGAGATCTACGTCCAACCAGAGGACAGACATGTCCTGAGCTCTCTGGGGGCCGGGCTGTCCCAATGACGTTTGCAGATGCTCCCGGGAGGGGTGGCGAGCACGCTGAGTGTGACCACAGCGTCCATGGCAGCCGAAGGACAGGGGCAGCCCCGGGTCCAAATGGGGAACCCACAGTGGTCCATCTGTGCGGGGGAATATTACACAACACCAAAAGGAAACGCAGCCCGAGGCCAGCGCCCACGGGCTCAGCTCTGCCGGGGACGACTTCACATGGACAGCTCGGACCAGCAAAATGCAGCAGCTGGAACCGTGCAACGGCGTTTCTTAATTCGTTTTTCAATCGCTTTGTTCCTGTTTCCCTCGGGGTGCTGGGGACAGAACCCCGCCTCGGCCTTGCCCCCGTGGGCTCGCAGTGCAGACCTGCCCGCCTCAGCCTCGTGCAGGGTGCGGGCCTCCAGCTCGTGCAGACGCAGGAGCTCGGTGTCCCACCCTGCCCGGGCTGGGCTGGCGCCCCACAGCTGCTGCCATATCCGCAGGGCCGCCTAGGTGTCTGCTTTCTTTCTTTACTTTTTTTTTTTTTTCATTTAAAGAGAAAAAAAAGGAAATAAAATTTTTTTAAAAGGTACAAATTATACAGAATTTCAAGAAAAAATACAGCAAGGTATCACTAGTTAATAGGTTACATATTGTCATCTTTGAAATTGGTGTCCAAATGATAAAATTAAACATGTAAAGTGAACGTTCATACAGTGAGATTGCAGACGGTGCCGATCGATGATCCCACAAATTGCAGTAATGCGGATTTGTACCCTGCACACTGAGACACGCACGCCGTCATATCCCGCAGTGACCGGCTTGGATCAGTGTGTGCGTCTCTCCTGGACAGAGACCGGGGATGGGGGCTGGGCCAGAGCAAAGCCAGGCGGGAAAAGCTGACCAATCCCAGTCGAGCCTCCTTTAATCAGGAAGTGCACACGGCGTATATAAAGGGCAACGTAACGCGTTATAGGCTACGTCGGCTTCCTCACGTGATGTGGACCTACTGACTAGCAGGAAATGACTCGTAGGAAACTCGGTAGGCGGAGGCAGAAGCGGAAGTAGTGAGCAGGAGAGAATTATGGGAGATGTAGTCTGAAGCGAAGGTACTCAAAACGGGCACCTCGCAGGCAGAGGAGGATCACGGGAAATGTAGGCTGACACAAAAGTGCCCTCAGGTGGGCGGGGCAGGACAGCGGCCGCCATTTTGAGGAGCTCCCTACATCTTAGAACACCTTCCTTTCCTCTGCTTTTAATAACAATTACACTTTTTGGGGTTTTCTTACTCCCACAATACTTATATTTTGCAGAGAATAAAACCTAACGTGGCTAAACCAAACAGAGTCGGTTAGAACAAAAGGACGGGCACAGTACATGACGTGAAAATAGAATCCCAGGCGACCTACCGGGCCACCATGGTGCCTCCTGCGCCTTACTTTGAGCCAGCGGCCTGCTGCGTGCTCCAGGCCGCCTCGCAGCCGCAGTCACAGCCGGCGGGGCTCCCCCCGAGGCCCTCCTGCCTCAGCCTCCCTGAGAGCTGGGCTGCCTGCAGCGTGTGCAGCTCCGGGCTTGGCCACAGCGGGGCGCACCCTGCCGGCCTTGCAGCTCTCTGCTTGTGGGAGGGGGTGGCCCTCCATAGCGCCCCCTGCTGGGCTCAGTGGGGGACCCTCCTGCCTCAGCCTGGCAGCCACCCCGCCCAGCAGCCGGCCCAGAGCAGACACCCACTCTGCAGGCCACCATCAGTGCAGGAGGAGGGCAGGGCGGCTGCCCAGCACCGCCTGGAGGTCACCCTGGGGCTCCTGCAACCTCCCCGCAGCATCACACAGGGCCTGGGCGAGACCAGGCAGAGAGGCCGGGTCCCCTCGGACGGGGCCACGGGGCTGAGACGGGTGACCCCGGGCCTGGCTGGCACAGTCCTGAGAGCCCCCTGCACTCCGGAGGCTGAGGCAGGAGGGTCGCTGTGAGTTCGAGACCAGCCTGGGCTACGGAGTAACAACACCACCACGGCTCTCTCTCTCAGACTGTTTTCTGTTTTGATGCATTTAGCTTTCCTGGGAGACGAAAGTGGTCTGGCCCGTCACTCCGCTGCCCAGGCTGGGCTCACATCTGAGGCCCTCCTGGCCTGGGCCAGGTTTGTGTTCCAGGTTTGTTTCCCTACTTAGTCTACTTATTGATTTATCTTATGAGTATTTTTATTTCCTGTCCTTTTGAGCCGGGGTCTCCCTGTGCAGTCCAGGCGGGCCCTGAGCTCACTGTTCAGTCCAGGCCGGCCTCAAACTCACAGTGACCCTCCTGCCTCAGCCTCCTTAGGGCCGGCATGAGAGGTGCGGGCCACTGTACCCGGCTTACAGTTAAAGTCTTTAAAATTAATTCATTTAAATTTAACTTAAATGCTTGAATTAACTAATTCACCTGCTTTACTTTAGTCTGTCTGCCTCGCTGGGGGACCAGGCATCAACCCAGGATTTCTGCACCGAGCGGCACCCCAGCCATTTTTTTGGTATTTTACCTTGAGATGGGGTCACAACTGTTTCCCGGCCAGGCTGGAGCTTGAGACCCTCCTGCCTCAGCTTCCCGAGTGCCGGGCTGACCCGTGCCGGGTGCTGAGGGCTCCTGTCCCCTCCCTTCCCCTGCAGAGCCCACTGCCCCTCAGGAACCTCAGGGTGGAGCCGGGCAGCAGGTGGCTGACCAGGGACCTGCACGGGAACGTGTCCAGCATCCAGTGCTCCCAGAGCAGCTACCCCTTGGTAAAGCGGGGCCCTGGCACACAGCTTTAGGACATACCCACCTCGGGGTCCCCCATGACCAGAGCCGCTCCTGACCCAGCTGAGGGCGGGGCACCCTCGTTCCCAGGCTGGGAGAGGCTGGCTCCTCCCTGGTCCCACACACGCCTCCCGCCATGGGCATGTGTCCTCCTGTCCACTTCTCAGCAGCACCAGGTCCTGTGGAGTTGGGGCCATCCTGAGAACTCAGTTTACCTCCCCAGCTGTCTGAGACCCCGCCCCACACGTGGCTGCAGCTTGAGGTCCTGGGGGTCCAGGGTCAATCAACAAACAGCCACCAAAAAGCCCAGGCCGCCCTCCAGTGTCAGAGCTCGAAAAGGAAAGCAAAGATTACTTAGGGTTCCCGCATCACAACAGACGGACCCCGATGTGCTTCTGGCCCAGGAGGTGTAGAAGAAAATGGAGGGGTTTGAAAATGCTGAGCGGACGTGGCGCAGTGACTCAAACCGGTCATGCCAGCGCTGGGAGGCTGAGGCAGGAGAGTCTCCATCATGCAAAGCAAGCCCAAGCTATGGAATGAGTTTCAGGGCAACCTGAGCATCACAGCGAGCCCCCATCTGAAAAAACCAGAGCGGGAGCGTCTGTGAAAGAAGCCACACTGTCCTCACAAAAGGATGCAAAGCTCCGTGGGGGAAGACTCTGCGTGAGCAACCTGTGGGAACATGTGACTTGGTGGCCTGTGGGCTTGGGGTCCCCCAGGGTTGGCTTGGCTCAGCTGAGCTC